CTTTGATACCCGGAAGACTACCAAGTTTGGGGTTTACTCGGGTGACTTCAAATTGGACGAATATGACAGCGTCGCCACCGACGTGACGGTTTACGCCAAGACGAAAGAGTACAACGTCAACGATGAGGACTTCCGTTATCTCACCGTTGATGTCCACGGAGGCACCTTTGGGCATTGGTTTGGTTACTACCCGACCGTGAAGATGTACAATGGTGTCGGCAATGCGTACATCAGCGCCTATTACTTCCGTCCTCTTCCTGTCGAACCTGACATGATTACTGGAAATCATTCAGTAGGTGAGGAAGCAACCACCACACCCAAGCCGGTGGATGGTGAGCACGGCCGGGACGAGGATTATCATCACGTCACCTTGACGGCCAAGGCCAGGGCTAACATCTACCTCCCATGGGGTCAGACGGCTGTTCCTTGCTTTGGTCCCGATGGTGGCGATGGCGCCTGGTATATGATGCATCAGTTTGGTGATGAGAGGCTTCATTGTGTCGTCTTTGATGGTAAGTATAAGACATGGTATTCTGCTGATCAACCTAAGAAGAGGGATCCTGTGTGGGTAACGTCCGGCGATGTTCTCCTCGCCATGAGGAAGCGTTCTGGTTACATGCGGGGATACCGCGTTAAGGTCCTCGCTCACGGCCTCCCATTCATCCTCCAGTGGAGGGGAGTCCAACGCGGTATGCAGTCCACTACGGCGAAGATTGAGAGGGGATGCGGCGGCTTTTGCGTTTTTGGCGACTACGGCCCGATGTATACCGTTGACGACACCTACCGGGTTGAGGACTCGACTATTGAGCTCAGCTTCGACCATTCCGTCCTCACGGCTACAACACCATACCCTCCCCATGATACTACGGAAACACCAGAGATGCCGGGGACGGGGGCGCCTGTAGAGTCTACTACTACCGAGGCCCCTGTAGAAGAATCTACTACTGAAGCCCCTGTAGAATTGTCCACTACTGAGGCCCGCGTAGATGCGGCTACTACTGAATCTCCTGTAGATGAGTCTACTACTGGCGCCCCTATAGACGAGTCCACTACTGAAGCTCCTGTAGGTGAGGCTACTACCGAAGCCCCTGTAGATGTGTCTACTACTGAGGCCCCTGTAGACGAGTCCACTACTGAAGCCCCTGTTGGTGAGTCCACTACTGAGGCCCCTGTTGACGAGTCTACTACTGAGGCCGCTGTAGATGACTCTACTTCTGAGGCCCCTGTTGGTGAGTCTACTACCGAGGCCCCTGTAGACGGGTCTACTACTGAGGCCCCTGTAGACGAGTTCACTACTGAATCTCCTGTAGGTGAGGGTACCACTGAAGCCCCTGTAGGCGGGTCCACTACTGAAGCCCCTGTAGGTGAGGCTACTACCGAAGCCCCTGTAGATGTGTCTACTACTGGATTCCCTGTTGGTGAGTCTACTAGTGAAGCACCTATAGATGAGTCCACTACTGAGGCCCCTGTAGACGGGTCTACGACTGAATCTCCTGTAGACGAGTCTACTACTGAAGCACCTATGGATGAGGGTACTACTGAAGCCCCTGCAGATGAGTTTACTACTGGAGCCCCTATAGACGAGTCCACTAGTGAAGCCCCTGTAGATGAGTCTACTACTGAGGCTCCTGTAGACAAGTCCACTACTGAAGCCCCTGTAGATGCGTCTACTACTGAAGCTCCTGTAGACGAGTCCACTACTGAAGCCTCTGTTGGTGAGTCCACTACTGAGGCTCCTGTAGACGAGTCCACTACTGAGGCCCCTGTAGACGAGTCTACTACTGAGGCCCCTGTAGACGACTCTACTACCGAGGTCCCTGTTGGTGAGTCTACTACCGAGGCCCCTGTTGACGAGTCTACTACTGAGGCACCTGTAGACGAGTCCACTACTGAGGCCCCTGTAGACGAGTCTACTACCGAGGCCCCTGTTGACGAGTCCACTACTGAGGCCCCTGTTGACGAGTCTACTACTGAGGCCACTACTGAAGAGTTTACTACTGAGGCCGCTGTAGATGACTCTACTACTGAGTCCACTATGGAAGGGTCTACTACTGAGGCTCCTGTAGCCGAGTCCACTACTGAAGCCCCTGTTGGTGAGTCTACTACCGAGGCCCCTGTAGACGGTTCTACTACTGAAGCCCCAGTGGATGAGTCTACTACTGAAGCTCCTGTAGACGAGTCTGCTACTGAGGCCCCTGTAGATGAGGGTACCACTAAATCCCCTGTAGACGAGTCCACTACTGAAGCTCCTGTAGGTGAGGCTACTACCGAAGCCCCTGTAGATGTGTCTACTACTGAGGCCCCTGTAGACGAGTCCACTACTGAAGCCCCTGTTGGTGAGTCCACTACTGAGGCCCCTGTTGACGAGTCTACTACTGAGGCCGCTGTAGATGACTCTACTTCTGAGGCCCCTGTTGGTGAGTCTACTACCGAGGCCCCTGTAGACGGGTCTACTACTGAGGCCCCTGTAGACGAGTTCACTACTGAATCTCCTGTAGGTGAGGGTACCACTGAAGCCCCTGTAGGCGGGTCCACTACTGAAGCCCCTGTAGGTGAGGCTACTACCGAAGCCCCTGTAGATGTGTCTACTACTGGATTCCCTGTTGGAGAGTCTACTAGTGAAGCACCTATAGATGAGTCCACTACTGAGGCCCCTGTAGACGGGTCTACGACTGAATCTCCTGTAGACGAGTCTACTACTGAAGCACCTATGGATGAGGGTACTACTGAAGCCCCTGCAGATGAGTTTACTACTGGAGCCCCTATAGACGAGTCCACTAGTGAAGCCCCTGTAGATGAGTCTACTACTGAGGCTCCTGTAGACAAGTCCACTACTGAAGCCCCTGTAGATGCGTCTACTACTGAAGCCCCTGTAGACGAGTCCACTACTGAAGCCTCTGTTGGTGAGTCCACTACTGAGGCTCCTGTAGACGAGTCCACTACTGAGGCCCCTGTAGACGAGTCTACTACTGAGGCCCCTGTAGACGACTCTACTACCGAGGTCCCTGTTGGTGAGTCTACTACCGAGGCCCCTGTTGACGAGTCTACTACTGAGGCACCTGTAGACGAGTCCACTACTGAGGCCCCTGTAGACGAGTCTACTACCGAGGCCCCTGTTGACGAGTCCACTACTGAGGCCCCTGTTGACGAGTCTACTACTGAGGCCACTACTGAAGAGTTTACTACTGAGGCCGCTGTAGATGACTCTACTACTGAGTCCACTATGGAAGGGTCTACTACTGAGGCTCCTGTAGCCGAGTCCACTACTGAAGCCCCTGTTGGTGAGTCTACTACCGAGGCCCCTGTAGACGGTTCTACTACTGAAGCCCCAGTGGATGAGTCTACTACTGAAGCTCCTGTAGACGAGTCTGCTACTGAGGCCCCTGTAGATGAGGGTACCACTAAATCCCCTGTAGACGAGTCCACTACTGAGGCCACTATGGGAGAGTCCACTACCGAGGCCCCTGTAGATGCGGCTACCACTGAAACTCCTGTTGGTGAGTCCACTACTGAAGCACCTATGGGTGAGGCTACTACTGAAGCCCCTGTGAATGAGTTTACTACTGGAGCCCCTATAGACGAGTCCACTAGTGAAGCCCCTGTAGATGAGTCCACTACTGAGGCCCCTGTAGACGTGTCTACTACTGAAGCCCCTGTAGATGAGGCTACTACTGAAGCCTCTGTTGGTGAGTCCACTACTGAAGCCTCTGTTGGTGAGTCCACTACTGAGGCCCCTGTAGACGAGTCTACAACTGAAGCTCCTGTGGATGAGTCTACTACTCCTACAGTCATCCTGACTGAGTCTATGACTACTGGAGCCTCTTCAATGGTGTCCACCACTGAATCCTCTATGATGGAGGCTACTAGCACTGGAGCTCCGGTAGTTACCAGTGCGCCTTCTATTGGCGACTTCACTGATGCTCCTCCCATCCTCCCATAAGGCAGCACTGCATAAGACAGAGCTTTATGTTTGAGGATTGATTATTTTTGTATAAAGCTCTCATGACTACTCCACTGGTGAGATGTTGTTCAGAAACCTCCATGAATGGAATGAAGCATCATCTATAAGCATCGCCGTGTTGTGTAGACGTTAATGTTTTGGTGAGTCGAGCGGTGCATTTACTTGCACTGCAGACGCGATGTGAATTATCATATCCGATGACCAGAGTCTAATGCGCTGCTAACAACAAGATCTGTTGGTGCAGTGGACGATGTCAGCGATTCTTAATAGCTATTGTAATTACTCTCGAGCAAGCGTGAAGCGTGGGTGTCCCATTATTGTCAAATATG